AATCATGTTTTCATCCCTACTATGGTCACACTTCACTGCTATTCACTCTCAATCTCAATTTCTTGTTCCTCCTTCCTTCCTAATTTATTAAACTTTAGAGTGCCTGCAATACATTCATCTCTAAATGATATGGTCATATTTTTAGCTTTAAATTATATATGTACACTCATCCCTAGATGGATCTTTCTAACTGTGGCATTTCTCCAAGATTCATCTCTATCCAGCCTTTTATATCTCCACTTGGATGACAAGTCATCTCAAATTAAGTGTCCAAAAATGAACTCATGGGATTTTGATTCCAATGATGGGAGCATGGCATCTATTCAACCCTCCCTTCTGATAACAATTATAAAATCAGGGAAAATACATCAAATACCTATTTGAACACATAGTAAGGCAACTCAACCTAGGACACAGTAGAGAGGAATCAACTCTTAAAAGAAGAGAAGCACATTTGGTGATGCACATTTACACAGCTTTGCTTTCTTCCAGGGTCTCATGACACAGCTACAGAGTCTGAATCAGAAAATGACAGGCTTTGGGGCTGAAGGATTTAGACGCTAAAGTATGAAAGTATCAGAATGATAGACTGGAAATTGAGGGTAAAAATCCTAGAATGAGGGAGGTGCCCACCCAAATCTGGTAATAAACTCTCTTCAATTCTTGGCTGATGCTGACGCGTGTTTGCTTGGGAAGAAACTGCAACTAGCTCAGCAGAAAGCACTAACTGGAAGACCGGAAGACTGGAGCTTAACGTCCAGGTGCTGTTTCCACCGGGGAGGTGATTTGGAGATGGAGCCACGTCATTTTAAAGACATGGGAAACGTCTTCCCACTGAAATTGGAGTAAGACCATATCTTAGAAGTAAATATGATGTTCTTGGATTAATGGGTTAACTGAAGCACTAAGAGCAAAACAGAACAAATATATATATATGAATAAATCTATGTGTATTTATGTACAAAACTAAATCTGTACAAGTTTAAAGATAATGTGCTGGTTATATAACTGCCTTGAGAACAAAAATCAACAGTTTTCAAAATATTCCCAAAGTGGGCAATACTATGCCTAGGAGTGCTGGAATGACCCAGGAGGGCAGCTAACACACACACACACACACACACACACACACACACACACACACACGCACACCCCTTTTCCTCCTGAAAGTGGAGTTTAACAAAAAGAAGTCACTTCATTATGTTGACAGAAGCAATCTAGTGTAAGAGACAGAGTAAGGCAGATTCCATTTTTAACCTAATTCTGTCAACTCTAAGAGCTCTCTTGGTTAAGTGCTTTCCTCTTTGACCTTTTTTCTTCTGAGCAAAGCAGAAAGCAATACAACTTACCCTCATCGTACTCTTATCTGAAATGAAATCGGATGCGATGCCAAACAGATATTGGCACAGATTCGATGTTTCATAAATTAGTTCTTTTTCTCTTATGATGCCAGTCCCTCATTACTAATATGCCCGCTCATCCCTGCAGTTCAACATTATTGAGCGCCCATCACGTGGTAGGCACGGGCCTAGAAACAAATGCGTACATGAATAAAATGTGGGCCCTGTACTCAAAAAGCTAAGATTCTATGGAGGAAAACACATACATAAGTGATAACTCTCTTTTCCTGAGCAAGGTTTATTACTACTTATTTATTCTTGATGACAATACTAATTTTATTTAAAAAGTATAACAGAAAATAACTATTATTAATTTTTGTGAAATTTTAAGATGCTTTAGAAAATATCTTTATAAAACTAAATTTCTGAGCTTTAATAGATTCTTCATATCAATCAGTTAAAACAATTTACAACAAATAATAAGAGGGAACTTCAAAAGTTCACCAAAAAATTTGAATTCAAATATATTGGAATTTTCCACAAACTGGTTTAAGCTCCCTTGTATTAGCCAGTGCTGCCTCAATATTATACTATAATAAGTCCTATTCAATCTCAATCAAATAAAACTTGATGCATTTAAAATTAATAAAGAATTTATTTTAAGACTATAATATCCAGTGGTAGAGTAGTAACTGCTTTTGAATTTCCTTAAATATTACAAAAAGAGAAAGCCAGAGAAGTAGCTAATGTGAAGGTCTCCCTCCTAGAATTCCCATATCTGTGCTTCCTCTTCCACAATGGACAGCACTGATTTGTTTAGTGACGAGAGTGTGGTAAGCGTAAGGGTAGTTGCCTAGAGTAGGTCATTAAAAGCCGTGGCTTCCTTGTTCTCCCAGATCACATGCGTTGGGGGAAGCCAGAGATGATGTCATAAGGATGCTTAAGCAGCCCTCTGGACAAGCCCACATGGGGACAAGACAGAGCTCGAATGGAGCCCGCTGCTGACAGCAATCTGACTAAGTCCTCTTGGGAAGGGAATCTTCAGCACCCCACTGAAGCCTTTAGTGATTGCAAATCCAGTTGACTTTTTTTTACTTCCACCACAATCTCAGGAGAAGAGAAAGAAATCTGACTTGGAGGTAGTACAGCCAGAATGTTCCTTGGAAGCAGGGGTGATGAGAATTTGTCCCATAGACTTTGGGTATGTTATCAGGAGACACCATTCCATGGAGAGGGGCATTATGCTTGGTAGAGAGGCAGCAGAAACCAAGAAGACCCTCAAAGAGCTGGATTGACCTAGTGGCTGCAACAATGGGCTCAAGCATCACTAACAATTGAGAGGATGGTGCAGGAGCAGGCTGCTAACCTCTAGCTTTGCTGCTAGCCTCTAGCTTTGTTCGGCTGTGCACAGGGTCCCTATGGGCTGAAAGTGATTGATGGCACCTAACAACAGTTCATGAGAGACCCTAACCCAGAACCACCTCCAGCTAAGCTGCTCCTGAAATTCGGACTCACAGAAGTCGTGAGATAAAAAATAATTGTTGCTTCTTTAAACTCCTAAATTTGGTGGTAATGTGTTATACAGCAATAGGTAGCTGACCCAGTCAGCTAGGAAATATTGGGAGAACTCTGTGTTTGTACACTCTGGGAGAAAGCAGGCAGGCTGAATGCGCCCTCTATTGTAACAATGTCACAAGGGATCTTGTTGACAATATTTTCAACCCGAGCCTCTCATTAAATTAATAAATTAAAGGTGCTAAATCAATTCAGCCTAAGTATATTCTTAGACTTAACCCCAAAACTAGGTGAAAAAATTACTGATACTAAAGAAACTTAAGGTTGATATGTAAGTTCTGTGGTTCAAGTTTATTTTGTCAATAAATTCCATTATCCATGTTACTGAAGACTTAGTAATTTTCCAACAATCCCCATTCGTAAAAACCTAAGGACCCTTTTTTGAAAAATTATCTTAAAAACAAGAATTCTGGTACTTTCATTTGCAATTCTATTTGGCTCAGTTACCTCATAACTAGCTCCTCAAAGAGAGATAACATTTTCTTATTTTTTATATGGTGTTTTTATGTGTCTTATCTCATGTTATTTATATGAAGTATCTTTGGTTATATTAAATTTTATAAAGTTCATTTATCAAAGTATCAGAATTAATATATAAAGAAATGTTTATAAAGTTTCATAATGTGCTACATTTTCTACTGCACTAAGGATCTCCCCAGCCCAACAAACTTGTATTTGCCTAAATTTACTTTTTCCACAGATCCAGGTAACTCCTTTTTGAAATGATGGATAAATTCTTATGCAATATAATTTCCTTAGAGCCCAATGATTCTAGTTATGTCACTTTTGCCAAACAACATCTGACAAAAGCAAAATAACAGAAATTGTCTTTAGAGAGTATAGCTTAATTAAAAGGAAAATTTCCCCCCTTTGAATGGCAATCAGTACGGTAATTAGATGTCAACATTTTTGTCAGGTGTAAGCAATCTGCATTTTCATCCCACTCTTTTGAATCAATATTATAAGAGTATTATGAATTATAAGGTGTGGCTGTTGTGCTGATACTACTTATTCTAGAAATGCATCTTAAATACCTAGGCAAATTGGTTTCACACACACACAAATACTCTAAAAACATTATTTAAAGCAACTGACACACCGTGGTCATTTTTAACATCTGTTACAAATCTAATGCTCTTCCCAAATATGTGCAGTTAGAACAATTCATGGTCAGTCATGGTTATGTGGACATGGTTATCAAATTATTAAATTGAACACAAATTAAAGGCTAATGGCCAGGCGTATACGATTAAGTTCCCCAGGAGGTCTAATTAGTGGCTTGTAAAATGAGTGTACATGTTCTTGTCCAGGCCATATGTGTTCATAATGTAGTCTATTGGAGAACAGTGACAAATATGAAAAATCTTATCACTGTACCAAATATGTGATTGAAGAGAAACATTCTTCTCTCCTGTTTTTGTTTTCCTTGGTGTTATGAAAATATATCTATTAGCATAGATATGACTATAGCCCATGGGAAATTATGAGCTGGGACTTTACAGCTACATTATCCTTTACCCTACTAAATATACTTGAATTTCCCAAATAGAGCATTAAAAATAACAGCCAAGCCTTCCAGCTGTCAAGTCAATTCAACTCATATTAACCCAAGGTCTGACACAGTAAACTGCTCCTTGGGCTTGCATGGCTGTGCTCTTTATAGAAGTAGATCTCCAGGCCTTCCACAGCCCTGTGCATGCCTTTGAACTGTTCATCGGTCGGCTAGTGTTCAAGATCAAACCACTTGCTTCACCCAGAGACTTTTTGGAGATAATAGAGATCTTCTGTATCCAAAGATTGGGCTTAAAAGTTAATAACTTTAAACTTCTTATTTTGTTGGCACTGTTAAGAATCTACACACCCAAACAGCACTGAGCCAACAGCTTCTCCCTGGACAATTCAGTGGCATTGCTTACATTCTTCCCAGTTGTGCGACTACTCTCACCCTCATGTTCTAGTGTTGTCTTCCTCCTAACATCAGCTCAATGCCTCCTAAAGCTCTGGCTACACTTCCAAGATGCTCTTGGCAAGGACCACCTTTTTGATATGAGGAAAATGAGATGATACTCATTAGTAATCACTTACCTTTGGACCTGGTAATCCAGGTAACCCAGGATTTCCATGTGGCCCAGGAATGCCCTGAAAATAGTAAAGAATAGTCAAATCAATTTTTGAACAGATTTAAATATGAGCAACACATGGAGACTATTAAACAGATTATTAAAATAGGTGCTATTTAATATAATTTTACTCAAATTCATCCTACCTTATTTTCTTGTCTTTTCTGAGATCTTGGATGTCTCAGTCTTGGAAAAAAATAACTAGGCTAATCATAGTGCAAAACTGTGGTTTCCCTCCATTGCTTCAAAACACTGCCCTTAAGGTGTTTACTTCCCGTATACACCACCTCTGTCTCCAGTAGCAGCATATTGTTCTGTGCTATTTCTAAAAGCTGTGTAGATTGAGAAAACTAAAAATAACGGAGTGAAATTATTTAGTTACTCTCCTCTAAAGAAGTCTTTGGCCTTTCTACACTCGAGCTTTTACTTATGCAATTCTGGATGCCTTAAAAACTGATTTCATTTACCTTTCCAAAGCAAAACTAAGCCAGTCACTGTTAAATCCATTCCAATTCATGATGGCTCTGTGTGTCCATTGGGTTTTCATTAGTTGACTTTTCAAAGTGGAATGCCCAGCTTATCTTCCAAGGTAACTCTAGGAGGATTTGGATCATCCATCTTTCTGTTTGCCACCAACCTCCTGATAGTTGGTGCCCCGACTACTGAATCATTCTTCAAGAATCTATTCAGATCCTACCTTAGATTTAAATCCTTAACACAGCAGCATGAAGTGATTTCTCTTTCTTACTAACTTCTTACAAGTTAAAACTTACAAGTCTAATAGATCTTCACTCTATTACCACAGAGTGGTATATTAGTCTACACTTTGTCTAACGTCTAATAGAACTTTATAGGACAGATTAGAACTTCCTCCATAAATTTTTTGGTTGTTGTTTTTAGGTACCATTGAGTCAGTTCCAACTCATCGTAAGCTTTTGACAACAGAACCAAACACCTGCCTGATCCTGTGTCACTGATGCTACGTTGCTATATTGTTGAGCCCATTGTTACAGCCACTGTGTCATCTTGTTGAGGGCTTTCCTTTTTCCCCATTATCCTTCCACTTTACCAAGCATGCTGTTCTTTTCCAGGGACTGGTCTCTCTTGGTAACATATCCAAATTACCTAATATGACATCTCACCATTCTTGCTTCTAAGGAGCATTTAGCTGCACTTTTACCAAGACAGATAGACTTGATCTTTTGTCAGTGCATGGTATTTCAATCGTTTTCTCCAGCACCACAATTCAAACACATAGATCTTTCTTCACTTCCTTATTCATGGTCCAACTTTCCCATGCATCTGAGGCAATTGGAAATACCATGGCATGAGTCAGGTGCACCCTAGCCTCAAAGTGACATCCTTCTCTTCAACATTTTAAAGAGATCTTGTGCAGCAGATTTACTCAATGCAATATGTCGCTTATCGCGAGACTGCAGCTTCCGTGAGCATTGATTACTGATCAAAGTAAGATGAAATCCTAAGAACTTCCATCTTTTCTCCATTTATCATGATATTACCGACTGGTTCAGGTGTAAGGATTTTAGTGTCTTTACGTTGAGTAGTTATCCATACTGGAGACTGCAGTTCCTTGATCCTCATCAGCAGGTAGGTGAAGTCCTCCTTAGCTTCAGCAAGCACGGTGTGCTACTTGCATATACAGATTGCTAATAAACCTTCTTCCAATCCTGATGTCTCATTCTTCCTCATATAAAGCCTCTTCTCAGATTATTTGCTCTGTCTACAGTTTGAACAAGCATAGTGAGAGTATACAACCCTGACACACACCTGTCCTGATTTAACACCATGCATATTCCCTTCTTCTGTTCCAATAATTGCTTCTTGATCCATGTACAGGTTCTGCATGAGCACAATGAAGGCCTCCTAGGCTGTACATTTTGTAAGGAAGCAGACTGCCATAGTAGCTGGTGAGTTTGAATGATCAACATTTTAGTTAACAGGTGTGTGTTTAACCACCGTATCCAAAGGGTTCCTTTCTGTAAAAATTCATTCATGGAAAATTAATTTGCCAATTAATCATGTATGGTATTCACCGTTTTAATTTGCTTTTTCAATATGTTTCTGCTATTGGAATACTTTAGTATATTATTACTTAAGATTACAAATTCCTTGAAAAATAATTCATTCTTAAATAACTAACAGTATATAGCACATATTAGCCACTTGATGAATATTTGCCAATTTTATTTCATTTTTCTAATAAATTATACAACCAGAATTCAGTCATTGTGTTGATTTAGTGATTACCTAATATGTACCAGGAACTGTGTTAATGCTGTACATTTCTTATTTCTAAGAGGAAGTGTGGTCATCAAGGCAAAAAAAATAAGGGAAAATGATTAGATATCATGATATTGTATGTAATTTATAACTTCAAAAATAACTTTAAAATAATAAGATAGAAAAATAATCATGGTGGTTAATGGATGAATTATTGATGTAGATGTAAAGACAATAGCTCATGTCCATTGGCATTGTGTTGATTCTGATGCATTGTGACCCTCTACAGCAGCGTAGCACTATCTTAGGCAATTCCAAGACTATGAATAATTATCCTTTAAATGGATTTTTTAAATCATTTTATTGGGGACTTGTACGGCTCTTATCACAATCCATACATTCATCCGTTGTGTCAAGCACATTTGTACATTTGTTGCCATCATTATTTTCAAAACATTTTCTTTCTACTTGAGTCCTTGGTATTAGCTCATTTTTCCCCTCCCTCCTGCACCCTTCCTCATGAACCCTTGATAATTTATAATTTTTTTCTTGAATTACACTGATGTATCCCTTCATCCACTTTTCTGTTGTCTGTCCCCCAGGGAGTGGGTTATATGTAGATTATTGTGATCGGTCCCCCCGCCTCCCCCCACATTCCCCTTCCTCTCCTGGTATTGCTACTCTCATTATTGGGCCTGAGGGTTTTATCTGTGCCGGATTCCCTATGTTTCCAGCTCTTATCTGTACTGATGTACATGCACTTGTCTAGCCAGATTTGTAAGGTAGAATTGGGGTCATGATAGTGGTGGGGGAGAAAGCATTAAAGCAGTGATGAACACATGAAGCACATCGCCGCATGGGAAGAATGAAGGAAATCATGCTAAGCAAAGTAAGCCAAGCACAAAAGGACAAGTACAACATGAGTCTGCTGAGGTAAGCTTTAAAATGCAAAGGGGGCATAGGGGAAAAGTTACTGTCTACATACATTCCTGGGGTGAGGTCCAGGTACTAAGGCGTGGGCCAGACCCAATCCAGAGATACATAGGGCAGCCAACTAAAAAGGAGGGGAAAAGAAAACATGGGTAGTGGGGGAACAGGGTATCTTGATAGCATGTGTGATCGAATTCAATCTGAAGGAGTTGATAGAATCCTCAATTTCTTCATCATTAGCCTTAGTGATTGGTACATAAATTTGAATAGTAGTTGTATTAAATGGACCATCTTGTAGGCCTGTAGATAATATCCTATGAAGACAGTATTGTAACTCAAGGCAGATCTTGAACAATTCTCTCTGATGATAAATGCAATGTCATTCCTCTTGAATTTGTCATTTCCTGTATAGGAAGCTAGATGGTTTTCCAGCTCAAAATGGTTCAATCAGTCCATTTCAACTTACTAATGTTTAGGTTTATGTATTCCATTTAATTATTGATGATAGATTTTCTTAGTTCCATACTTCATATATTCCACTCTGATGATTAATGGATGCTTACAATTGTTTCTTCTCATTTTGAGTTCTGCCCCATCAGCAAAGAAGGTCCTTGAAGCTTTAGTCCATCCGGGTTCTTATGCTTGATTCTACTTTGAGGAAGCAGCGCTTCCTCAGAAGTGTTTTAAGAGTCTTCCATCCTGAGGGCTCATCTTCTGGAACTTCATCTGGCAACATTCTGCTGCTATCCGTAAGATTTTCAGTGGTGAATCCCTGAGAAGTGGAGCAGCTATTCGCTTTCGTGCTCTGTTCTTAATCTGGAAGTCTGCTAAATCCTGTTCTCCATGGGTGACCTTACTGGTATGTGAAATGCCAATAGCATAGGTCCTCGCATCACAGCAACATGCAAGCCACCACAGTTTAACAAACTGACAGACAAGACTTTCTGTGAGTGAACATCCACATTTTTTTAAGTGACAGAATCAAACTCGAACACAGCAAGAAGTCATTTGTGTGACCCATGTCATGTGAGATCTACTGATGATCATTCAGGCAGGGTTTTTCCCTCAGGGTTTTTTTTTTTTCTGGTCAAAAACTCCAGCATTTTCCACTATGTTATCCAAGAATGCACTGTTTTAAAACAGCCCATTCCTTTTCATTCTCCAGAACAAATGAAGCTCACCTTGGACTATCAATTCCGGATGAGATCACTTTATAACCAAAAATAATGTTACAGGTAGCAATAAACAAATGTGGTCATCTTTCTTGGGCATGTTCACAGAAAATGCTTTGGCTGACTGTTTATATTCAGATAAACAAGCCTACACGTGTTCCTAAGCTCCTCTTGAACTGGCAAAGGCAGACAGCTTTTGAAGATCCAGGCAGGTTTCCAAAGGAAGTATATGTGGTACAATATTAAGAAAAAAATAGATTGAAAAGTTATTAATTCAAATAGCAAATTGGAAATAGACTCCATCTACTCACCCTTGGGCCTCTTTTTCCCGCTGGACCTGGGATACCTGCTGGACCAGGTGGACCCTTGGGAAACAAAGAGCAGGGCATTATAGATCATAATGTGTGAATCTTTCTCTTGATTTCAATATGCGTTGCACTTGGGACAACTCTCCTCAATGCCCGATCCCTAACTGATGATCATTTTAATGCATCTGAATCCCCAGCGCTAATCAGCAGGGGTGAGAGTTGCAGTAGGAAAGACCTCTTTAATCTGGCCAAAAATGGAAGCCGGAAATCTATGACTTATGGTTACAGCCACTGTATCTGGCTTTTACAGGGACCATAGCTAGTAGTTTTGTGGGTAATTTTTACCTAAATTTACTTTTACTGAAGAGGAGACATTCAATTTAGGGTTTGAAGACCATAATCTACTGACTTTGCTTCCAAACACATTTCAAGAACAACTTCCTCTGAAAAATTAAAGTACTGGCCATTCTATTTTACTTTAAAATAAGGTTATTAAGGATCTCTGTAAGGTGTTAGCCTGTTATAAGGAGATCCTTTAACTATATAGATTAGGATACTGCCTCCTATCAAAATGAGTAAACCAGGAGGTAATTAATAGAGTTAAATAGTTTGTATTCAAGAGGTATAAAAGGAAAAAATATTCATTTTAAAGCGTTATAAAGTCAAACTCAAAATCCACTGCCATCAAGTTGATGCCGACTAAAGGCAATCCTATAAGACAAGACAGCACTGCCCCTGTGAGTTCCTGAGACTATGGCTTTATGGGAGTAGCTGGATTTCCTGCGGAGTGGCTGGTGGTTTCGAACCGCAAACCTTGTGGATCACAGCCCAACTCATAACCAGATGCCCCCAGGGCTCTTTAAAGTGCTATATGGTCTTTAAAATTACTTTGAGATAAATAAAACAACTCCTTGCTCCCTCATCTATCTAGCATCTTTCTTACTTACTGTAACAATTGACTGGAAAAGTATATGTGTTCAATGAAATATTGTTGAGCCTGTATTCAGGCATTTGTCCATTTATTTGTTACTGAGCATCTTGCTGGTGTGGCATTATTCTCAGTGCTTATAAAACTTTGATAAATACATACTCCTTCATTAAACTTATTGCCACCGAGCCATTTCCAACTCTTAGGAACCCTATAGGACAAAGTAGAATCGCCCCACGGGTTCTGAGGCTCTTGCTTTGTCCAGGAATAGAAAGCCTCATCTTTAGCCCATGGAAAGCTTAGCAGCCCAGTGGGTAACCCACAAGGCCACCAGGGCGCCTTCGCTGCAGCAAACATAGTACAAACCTTGATATTAGATAGATCAAGGTTAACATTTTAGCCTCACCACAAAACCTGCCGGGTTTCATTTTTCTCAAGTGTCAGAAGTCTATACATCAATTACGGTGGCATGCAAAATGAAGGGATGGCCCAAGGTTGAGTCATATGTAATTGTCAATGGGTCCCTATTTTTAACCTAAAAATGCAGTTTTGTGTCTTCTAATTTATAGCATGGCCAGGTTACACCTAGAAGTTTCCTCCAGAATGTAAAATCTATATTTAGTTTCTTAGGAGGAAAGAGAAAATGGATTGACGGAAATTAGAGAAGGTAGCTTTCCAATTAAAAAAACCAAAAGGAGGAACAAAATAAGTTATATTTGTAAAACAATAGGTATTGAACATTTTTCTCATTCTTCTTTGTATGTCTTGGAGTGTTCTCCTTTATTGATATTAGTCATATTGCCTTTTTCTGATACTATATCTATTTGAAAGGATCCCTGGTGGCTAGTAGTTACATGTTGGGCTGTGATCTGTGAGGTCTGAAGTTTGAAACCACCTGGCACTCCTCAGGAGGAAGACATGGCTTTCTACTTGCACTGAGTTTCAGTCTTAGCAACTCTCAAGGCAATTTCAGCTTGCTCTGTTGGGTCACTATGAGTCAGCATTGGCTCAATGTCACTGAGGTTTTATATTTCAAACCATCCATTTCCCTTCCATTGAATTTCTCTTTCTCTTACCTACTAACTTAATGGGAAAAACTTCCACATATTTTCAAATGTTGAAAGAAAATTACTATGCCTACTCAACCCTAAGCCAAGGATCATATTCAGCTTCCCCACCCAACCCAAACTCACAGACATCGATTGATTGTGACTTAGAGTGACCCTTAGACATTGATTGATTGTGACTTAGAGTAGAACTGCCCCTTTAGGGTTCTGAGACAGCACATCTTTACAGGCATAGAAAGCCCCATCTTTCTCCCATGGGGCCGCTGATGACTTTGAATTGCTGACCTTGAAGTCAGTAGTCCAGTGCGTAATCCACTGGGACACAAAGACTCCTTTATTCTGAAATAGTGGTTCATAAAATTTAACAATTATTTATTTTGTCAGTAGCATCTATCAGATTTTCATGTTCTTAATGTTAGGAAAACTAACATTCTTTTCAAATTTGTATCAGTTCTGATGTTATCATCAGAATTTAACAGCTGTTTACTTGCAATACGTCCTGAAAAAGGAGATAAAATAGGGTGACTCAGAGAGAGAGGAAGCGACACTGTCCGGTTAGGTTACTGCCTTGACAATGGGTCTTCAGAGCCACAGCAAGACAAGACACGGCTCCACTCAAGCTGAAAAGAGAGTGCATATTAGATGGAGGGGAGTGCGGTTTCTATTGTGATTCAAATGCCCAAGTCGCTTAATAGCTCCTAAATAAGCGCCACGATTTTTAAGAACAGATTTTTCAGTGGGCATTTTCTAGGAACCAGGGAAGCCGAGTCATTTTTTTATAGTCTGATAGTTGAGGGTAATACATTATTTCATGAAAATAAAGTTACGTTTTTAAAATGTACTTTTAGGTTACTGCTTAAGAGAAATCATAACTCAATGAAAAGTAATGGCTGTCTAATCAGACGATTTAGATTTAAATCATGGCTCCATGATTTACGCGCTGAATGACTTTTGACTAGTCAGTTGTTCTTTCAGAGCCTTGGTTTTCTCATCTTTAGAGGGTATTAAATAAAATAAACCTTTCAGGATTATTGTGTGCATTTGAAATATTGTGTACAAAGTATATATCTTTGCACATGATACATAGTGGATGACCAATTAAGGATTGTGTAATTTTGGGGGGGTACATAAAACTAGATGTGGCAATTTAAAAAGAAGTCACTTGGGTACCTGAGAAATTGGATGTCCATTCTCAAATACTACCGTCAAATAATTTTTAATGAATTATTTCAGATTGTCTATTCTTCAGTGGAGACATGTTTTATATATTTTCAAGGGTACAAGTGTACAAAAGAGGAATAGTAGTGACTTACATGGCTAAAATCAATTCCCAGGGTTCTAGAGTACAAGAACATGTCGAGATTTTGTTTTGTTTGCTTGTTTGTTTGAAGAGGCACCTGCTACCCATGGCCCCAATTTGTTCTTTTGAAACAACTTTACTTTCTCAACAAATCTAGAGCTCTGTGTTTTTATCTATTAGCTAATTAAAGAAATATAAAATTCTAGAGCTAGTAGGAAATTATAAATTGGGAGCTTGGACAAATTACTCTTTAAATTACACAGAAACACATTCTTCACCTTCTATGGCCTAGCTTTCCTTCCTTATGCTGTAGATAGTGATTCTATGATCTCAAAATAAAACTCCAGGCTTTCTTATAGAAATTTATAACTATGAAATATGAAATTCTACAGATAATTCTACCCCCACTTAATTACATTTTATTGTCAATTTATGGTGATCTACTACTTGGACTGCTTAATTAGGACCACATCTATAAAAAGGATGAAAAAATGTTTTTTTTAGGGCTTTTCTCCTTCCAATGGCATTTTAAATTTTGCTTTTAACTTTATAGTGCCTTAATTAAATGCTAATTTGATTTTTACAGATATATTTTAGTTATATAGTCATTCTGTAATCATTAAATGGGACTGAATGTAAATCATATTGCCAGGAGATTCTGTCTTGAAAGACAGAAAAAGGAAAAAAGAAAAGTGAGTAGGAAATGGAGAAAAGAGAAGATGGGAGGGAAGAACAATGAAATAGAAAAGAAGAATATAGGCTAAAAGAATAACAAATATAGAGAAAGAAGGAATAAAAAATATATTACAACACTACTTTCTTTACTCAGATAAAGGTTCTAAGGAAACCTACCAGCAGGCCTCTGTAAATTTATAGATCTATGTATGTATGTCAAATAATACACTAAATTCTCTCCAATGATGATGGTAGCAATCCCTATTTTTATGTGATATATGGACAGAGTAAAAATAATCAAAATTATTACAAATAACATCTATAAGTGCCACAGATTTTAAATCATACTAAAAGAAGATAAAGTTAGCAGAATATATGAGAATATCAGAAAGCAGAAATTCCAAATTTTTACATACTAAGGATTTTTTCATTACGTGTCATTTAAATAACACTTGGTTTTTTTATACTGGGATGTATTAGCATCTCATTAAACCCCCTTTTTAGAATGTGTGAAATACCCTGAGTGATGTACATACTCTTCCAACATTTACGAAGATGACATGGCCTGGCTCGCTGGAAGAAGAAGGACTTGAAGCAGTTGCTGAGGAAGATCAAAGAACAACCTTCTGTATGGTTGTAAAGAAAATAAAGATCCCTCACATCATGATAAACAGAGAAAAGATTGAAGTGTCAATGTTTTCGTGTTACCTGGATTTACAGTCAATGCTTATGGAAGCAGACAATCAAGAAATCAAATGATGTATTTACATTGGCAAATGTGCTGCCCAATACATCTTTAAAGTGTTAAAGTGCAAAGATAACACTTTGAGGATTAAGGTGTGCCTGAGCAAAGCCGCTGGTTTCAGTAACCTTCTGTGCACGTGAAAGCTGGACAGTGAGGAAGGAGGACCAAAGGAGAAATGATGCATTTGAATCAGGATGTTGTGAACGAGTGCCAGGGCTGCCAGAACAAACCATTTGGTCTTGAGTCTACAACCAGTATGCTCCTTAAAAGCCAGCACACTGATACTGCATATACCATGTTTGGGACATGTTTTCAGGAGAGACTAGTCCCTGGAAAAGGACA